TTGTTGTTTGGCGGGTCCAGGCTGGGGATTCAAACCCGCCACCTTAGGTGTACGTGGCTGGCGCCTTAGCCGGTTGAGCTATAGCCGCCGAGCCAAGTTACCTTTTCTTAATGATTCATATTCACTATTGAAGGATATGAGAACATTTGAACATTTTTATAAGACAGGCACTGCAATATGCCTTAAACATATTAAATACATTATTTTAAAGTCCTCTTATAAACTCTGTGTGTTCCATTTTACAAATAAGGAAAGTGAAGCTCAGAGTGAAAATGACTTGCTCAAGAGCCAGAGATTGATGGAGCCAGAATTCAAACCCAAGTCTGTCACTAAGATACGTGTTTTTCCCACACTACATTACTATAATGGCCTAATAATAATATTAGCAGCTAACATTTGTTAAACAGTTGCTATATAAAAGCATTTGATTAAGTGGTTTGTATTCTTAGCGGCTCACGTCTGGGAAGCCAAGGCAGGTGGACTACCTGGAGTTCACCAGTTTGAGACCAGCCTGAGCAAGAGTGAGACCCCCCCCTCTAAAAATAGCCGGAAGTTGTGAAGGGCCCCTGTGATCCCAGCTACTTAAGAGGCTGAGGCAAGAGAATCACTTGAGCCCAAGAATTTGAGGTTGCTGTGAGGTATCACCCCATGGCACTCTACTGAGGATGACAAAGTGAGACTCTATCTCAAAAAAAAAAAAAAAAAAGAAGAAGAAAAAAAATTCATACTGCATTAAACTTTTTTTTTTGCAGTTTTTGTCCCCCCCCACACAAAGAAAGCACACAGCTAGTATGTTCTTCCTGAACTTCCACATTACATCTTATACTATGATGCTTACTGAGATAGTTGTTATTGTAAATCCAGACAGAATGACACAAATCACATTCAAACATAGCATCTGAGATACTAGGTGTTCACTTTAGATGTTTCTATGCGCATCTTCCCTCTGAGGTATTTCCAGTTATAAAGGCTAAAATCAGGTATCAAACCAAGCGTCTTCTATTTCACTTTAGGGTATGAGGCAGAAAGCCACAAGAAGAATTTTTTTGTTTTGAGACAGTCTCACTATGTCACCCTCAGCAGAGTACCGTGGTGTCACAGCTCACAGCAACCTCAAACTCTTCAACATAAATGATTCTCTTGCCTCAGTCTCCTAAGTAGCTGGGACTACAGGTGCCTGCCACAACGCCTGGCTATTATTTGTTGCAGCTGTCATTGTTGTTTATCTGGCCTGGCCTGGGCTGGGCTCGAACCCGCCACCCTTGGTGTATGTGCCTGGCGCCGTAACCACTGTGCTACGGGCACCAAGCCCCAGTTTTTTTTTTTTTTTTTTTTTTTTGAGACAGAGCCTCAAGCTGTCCCCCTGGGTAGAG